GGGACACTACACCTACATATAAGAGCACATTTTTGACGACACTAGAGTAGGAAATCCATATAGTGTAAAATTAAAGGGACACTACACCTACATATAAGAGCACATTTTTGACGACACTAGAGTAGGAAATCCATATAGTGTAAAATTAAAGGGACACTACACCTACATATAAGAGCACATTTTTGACGACACTAGAGTAGGAAATCCATATAGTGTAAAATTAAAGGGACACTACACCTACATATAAGAGCACATTTTTGACAACACTAGAGTAGGAAATCCATATAGTGTAAAATTAAAGGGACACTACACCTACATATAAGAGCACATTTTTGACAACACTAGAGTAGGAAATCCATATAGTGTAGATGTGAAATTACAGAACAGCTACGGTCTACTCATGCCTTCTACGTAGTTTATGCTAAATACTTTCTATACAGAAAATACAAAGTAGCCCTTTTGTAGACAAGAACAAACCTGGAATCAACAGAACAATGGCAGACTTAGATTAATTTCTTGCTTATATTCAAATTTTTAATACATTTATGTTAACAGTATTATTAATATTATGTACATAATTTTGTACAGTTTGTGATCAATTTTTATCATTATACAAAATGGTAGTTACTTAAGAAATTATTATATACTTTGACATATTGAAAAATATTTTTTTCTTTTACGTAACATCCTCCATTATTTTATCTAAAGTGCCTAAGATACTTAATGTAATGAAACTTTTAATTTTGAACTGTTCTACAGACTAATAGAATCTGTTGTAAGATTAAATAAGCTGGTTTATAATTGTCTCCCAGTGGGACAGCGGTAAGTTTACGGACTTACAATGCTAAAACCTGGGGTTTGATTCCCTGCAGTTGATGCAGCAAATAGCCCAATATGACTTTTGTAACACGTTCTACTACTCAAATTTTTTAATAGTTACATTAAGTATACAACTTGAGTGTCAGTAAAGGGAAACTGAATTATTTTAGATAGTGTATTATGGTACACGCCCACACAGATATATATATCACATATTGATGAATTAAGCTATCAGATCAAATTTATTATTAATTTACTATTTTTAGTTGGTCATATTTACCATACTTACAGTGCTCATTTTATTAAAAATAATTTTCAGCTCTGATAATTTTAAGTTAATTTGCATAGCTGGGTACCATTTATACACATATTTGATTAGAGACAGCATTTGAGTCAGACTAATAAAATTATTAACAATTTTTTATATTCGTTAATAGCACACATTCACATACTAAACATTCTGTTTTAGAAATTATATTTGTTTTTGTATAATACAGTTATTTCCATATGTTAAAGTACTAGTTTCAGAATTTCTGTTAACAATAAAGTGTTATGAGTGTATATATGTATTTATATGATATAGAAGGTTATTATGAGCTAAAAAGCTAATAATCAGTTTGCTATAATATTTATTCAATGAACTGATGAAACAATGGGAAAGGTGTTTCCAGTGCCAAAATTAATTGTCATCGAGAGGAAGGGTGTGCTGATTATGTAGTTGTACAGCCAGCATGTTAACAGTTTCAATGTGACCTCCTTTCATGTATGTTATGATCCACAGCTGAATGAGGAGGTAGTAACTGTGTCATAATGCACCAAGGTCATAAGATTGTGTCTTGGCCAAAAATCAGCAGGGCTGATACTTCAAAAGCATACTGGCCACACGTGTATGGAAAATATTTCATGATTGCTTTGTCTTCAAATACATGTTCCAGGAATGTTTTGGCAGGCTGTACAATGTGAGCAGAGCCCATCTTCCTTGATGACTGTTTTATTGAAAAAAATGCCTCAGTGACGAAGTTGCTTGTAAAACCAAATCACAATGTAACCTTCTTATTGCGCTATAGCTGTTGCACGAAGGAATGTGAATGCCTTTGTTCTCAGATGTTAAGTTACAAATATTGGCCTGGCTGTGAAGAACAAAAATGAGCCTCATCATATGATGTGATTGATATTTAGCCAGCTACTATCCACTTCCACTTGTGCATCTCCTGGTAGTAGCTATGAGTGATCTGTATCCTTTAAGGACACAGTATCAGTGTATCACTTTGATCACAACTTCAAACGTTTTGTGGGGGTGACCATTACAAGTTGCATGAGCAGCCAGTTCTGTTTGCTCAGATTTCTTCTGATAAGGTTCCAGACTGCATGGTCCTTTGTTCAGCCATTTTAAAATGATAGAATATTAATGTTTCAATCATATATGTTATAACCATAACTACAGTAGTGCTTTATGGGGTAATCTTAATGTTCAGGAAACAGTGCACTATGAACCATTTCTAAAAGCGGGATGAATCCTTAAATGTTCGATGCAGTCTTTGGTATACAAATTTAACGGTCAGCACTCCTTGATGACATTTATTTTATGTAGTGCAGTGATCTTTCATGTCACCTCATTAGTCCATCTTCTAAATATTAAATATTAGTTCCAAAATTAAATATTAGAATAGGCCAGTTAACTGTATAATAGCTCTGTACACTTCCATGCTTTATGGAACTTTAACAAATTGTTGTCATAAAAGTCATGTATTTGTTTTGAATTTTGTATGGTTTTTCTGAGCTAAATCGTTTTGATTTTAGTATGTTTATTTCAAAGTAACATTTGATAGAAACAATTTTTTATTGACATATTTAAAGTTATTCTTTTTGTCACAGATATTGTTAAAGAGAAAGGTGTTGAAAATGTTACTGTGGATGATCTTGTTGCAGAAATCACCCCAAAGGGAAGAGGTATGTGTTTAATTTTAAAATGACTTGTCCTGTTTACCTGAAGATCAGTAAATGTTGTAGAAACACAATATGTTGATAGTAAAGAAAAAGAACTAGCACATGATTAAAGACTTGAGAACAAGAAATATGTTTATAGCCCCTTTTTGAGTAATAAGACCTACTATAAGTATCCGCTTGAACAAATGAAAAATAAATGGTGGTTGTTTGTTTGTCAGCATGACCTATTGGAAACCTTACTTTACAGAAAAAAGTACATTTGGTGATATGTGGTTTTATACAGGAAACATTGATAACAAGTTGGTTTCTGATGGCTATGCTATCTTAACTAACAGTCCCAAACAAAAACAAGTTAAACAACATTGTTGAAAGACTTGATACTTTGGCTAGTCTGGATTCATTGACATTTACAGGTTGGTCCAAAATTATCTTTTCTATTTTAAAATGTAATAATTAACTAACTAAGGAAATACAACCATGCAGTTTTCAACATCTTGTAGCCCAACTCAAGCCGTTTTTATTGACACGGCAGTAAACTTCTATGTGTGTACATCTCTCAGCACATCTAACTGATGTTCATTTTATGTCCGCATTTGCTACAACATGTTTATATTTACAGTGCTGACGTCCTTTATCCTAAACTTTAGCTATGTGATGTTTGCGATATCTGTAATATACCCCAGTACTTCTTTCCTATACTGTTATCTGTAATTACACTGCAGCACAGTCACTGAATTGGTCTCTCCAAGCCAAACTATGTATTGAGCCTTTTCTTGCACACTTACCATCTTACAAGGTAACACTACTCATTGGGGTGAAAAAAAGAACATGATAATAAAAACTGTTTGTATTCAGCTACAAGGTGTTGAAAACTGCATGGTTATATTTCTTTGGTTTAGGGATCTAGCCTTTGGTCTAGCAACATCACCATATGTCTTCTGCTGGGTTGTACAAGTTTTCACCATGTTTTATGCCCAGCTCAGCCACCTCCCATCCAGCTCCAGGCTATGGAACGGACAGTCAGGCTCTTATTTACAGGGATGGTTTTATCACTGGGGTTGTGGGCTTCCCTCAAATCTCTTGATTTTGTGGGATGAGGTTATCCCTTCAGTGGTCCCATTGCAACTAATGGATATGGAACTTCAGTCCACTAGATTTTCTAGTCCCTTTCATCAGGAGCAACTTCTTAGATTTTTATCTACATCTTCTTCTTTGGCTATCTTTATTGAGGCATCCTCAACCCCACATTCTACAGTAAGACTTTTCCCTGCTTATTGGGGTTTAAAGTCTACAATTGTCTGGGGTATGCCTCACAAGGAGTTTGTACCCACTTTACCAAATGTGTTCACCATATCTTGTTTTTGACCTGTTTTTGTACTCGGGTTTAGGTCAGACAACTTTTTCATCTCCTTTTAGTTATCCTACACATTTGAACGTTTCTGGACTCACCAGTGCTATCCAGCCTTCTTCCCAAATGGCCTTTTTCCATTAATTACACAAGAGATTAAGGTGGTACAACATGCCTTCTCCGACAACCATTCGAGCCTTAAGCCTCATGTACCATGTATCACCTCTCACTCAATGGGTATTTTGTTGTTGCTGACATGCTGATGTCATCAGTTGGAGCTGTTGGCAGGTTTGTAGGACTCTTTTTCTCTCCCTATACGTCCTTCTGTACCCTGATAGGTCATTTCTTTCTAAGTCTCTGGCCACCAGAGAAAGAGATTCATCCCTATCCCCAATTCTTTTGCCAACTATTTATCACCTCTACAATTGATCGTATGCTGATCATTTGTTTTGTCCTGTCAGGCCTAGAGGTGTTATATGGCTCACTCTGACTCCTTTCGTGGTGATAGTTCTTGTCTTGTATTCTTTGGGATACTTCAGTTTCCAAAGATTTATCCCCACTTCCTTGAAGGTGGTTTTGCAAATTTTTAGGTTGCATATTCTGGATTTTACAGGTGAGGAATCTTCTGAGAGTTACATCTGATAAGCTTCAGCACATTTCTTTGATTCACGGCCCGGCATGGCCAGGTGGTTAGGGTGCTTGACTCGCAGTCTGTGGGTCGCGGGTTCGAATCCCCGTCACGCCAAACATGCTCGTCCTTTCAGCCGTGGGGGTGTTATAATGCGACGGTCAATCCCACTATTCACTGGTAAAAGAGTAGCCCAAGAGTTGGCGGTGGGTGGGGATGACTAGCTGCCTTCCCTCTAATCTTACACTGCTAAATTAGGGACGGCTAGTGCAGATAGCCCTTGTGTAGCTTTGCGCGAAATTGAAAAACAAACAAATCTTTGATTCACTGGGGAACATTTTACAAGCTTGTATGTGGACTTCTTCTAATGCCTTTCTCTCACATTCTTTATATGTTCTGGCAGTTTTTGTCTGGGGTTTTTTCACTACCCTCCATGGCCATTTTAACAACATCTGCTAAATTATACAGAAGAGGAAGTAATCTTGTCTTTCCTTTTTCAGGGTACCTATATCTTGCTTTCACCGGATCCTATTCAGTGGCGAGTGTTGCCTAGACAGGTGTGCATTTATCAATCCAATTCCACACTAGCAACCCATTTGACTATACTTACTACTGGTTGCAACAGGCTCTGTAGAAATGGGGTGTTCCATAAGACCATCTAGGCACATTACTAGATGGTATTACCATATTATCATGAACTGCTACTCATGGACTATAATGAGTAAAGCTAAAGGGGATTCTGCATATCCTTGCCAATCATCAAATTGAATAAATGGGGGTTGATTTGCTTTTAAAAATTTAGGGAACTTGGTTCACCTATTGCACAGTTGCCAGACCACTGTTCCTGAGGGCTCCCCAATGTGCATCATCCCCCAGATTCTACTAGTGGAGCTAGGTAGTCCTTACCACATCCAGTTTCCAGTTGCTGGGATGGTGGACAGAGGCTTTTCCTCCAAAGTGTCCAAGTGTGTTCCTCCACTCGTGGAGAAGAGGGCGAGGCTGGAGCCCTCCTACTCTGGTTCCTTGATGTATTTCCCAGATGTTGGTAGGAGCAGCACAGGCTGGTCTATGCTGTAGCCTACTCATAATATCAACTCAGATTTGATCCCATGCTATCTGTTTGGGGTGTGTGCTTGGCCCTTCTTATGAACAATGTGGGGTTGTATATTGTTCATGAATGGAGGTCCACTATCTCCTCATAATTACCAAATGTGAAGTGGTTTCGTCATAGGTTCTTGGTTGAACACACTGTTCCATGTCCTCTCCATAATTCTGGGGGCAAGTGGAATGCTTCTTGCCCACTCTGCTGGAGAGTGAGGATGAATGTTCATAATTCCAGACTGGATGAGTTCTGTTCCTTTGATTGAGTAAGGCATATATGATCCCTTCATTCTGAGCCTGGGGTTGTACCTTTTGAACATCTTCAGGTGGAAGAGAAAGTTTATCCACTTCAGTGTTGCTTCCTTTCTCATTGTAATTCTGGTTGTTCAGAATGCATCACTCTATGGCTACAGGTTGGGATCCAATAAAAAGTATATCTATGTATCACATTGTGGTCCAATTGCCCTAGCCAACAACATGGGATATAGGGACCACCACCCCTTAATTCCAACCCCAAGTTGGGGCTGGCTTATAATAATTACTCATGTACTATTCCACTCTTGATACTAATATGATGTTCTGGGCAAAGAGCATATCTGTCCCTAATGTTGTGCAGTTCCCCATTTGGGTACCACTCTTATCTTGGTACACCCCCTCCACTTCTCAATGTGGTATTCTAGCTAAAGTGGCAGTGGAGGGTAAGTATGTTTTGGAAGTTAACATTTTCCTAAATGAGTGGGAGGATTTGCTAAGGGCATTTAAGTGGAGTATAAAAGATTGGAGCATGCAAGACCAATGCTTAGATAAACAAAGCCAATGTTGAGGAATAGCTAAAGTTTCAGCATAGGTAAGTATTATTGGAAATACATTTTCAGTTTAGGAAAATGTTAACTTTCTTGGCTTCTTCCTCCCTTTGAACCTTTAACATTTGCTCAATCATCTTTTTCTCAAAACATATTTCCTTTTATTGCTTGCATCAGGCAGAAGACAATCTGATACTTTTGATTTCAGTGCTACACATTCTTCAGTAGGAACTCTTTTATATTAAAATTACCTCTGTAGTTGCCCTAAACAAAATTATACCCTCTACTGGTGCTCCATCAGAAAGTGGTACTCTTTGGAAGTGGATAGAGGATCCTATCTGATGAGTGATGTTGCCTTGGAGGGCATCTTTCCAACCTCTGTATGCACATTCTTATTGCTTAGCATCAAGAGGCATCAGAGTAGATAAATGTCAGTTCTCCATATGATGTCTCATAGTTCGAACCAGGATGGTGATCACCTTACAGCTTTTATTTATCTACTTTTCTTTCTTAACCTCATTTGGTGTTCCCATTACACCCTTTTAGAGTTGTCGAGCCAATCCTTGGGTATTTCTGGGTCTTTTCACTGACTTGGATTGTTATATGCCTTTTAGCCCTAGTAGCAGTTCCATTCATTAGATATTACTGGTCATCTGAGAGCCTTCCATTATAAAACATTGTGTTCTGTTCTTATGACACCACATGACATCACTTCTAGGAATGTGCATAGCTCCACAAATACTTATATAATGCCCAATTCACTACAGCTTTAAGACACAGCCATTCACATAATACACTACAGCTTTAAGACAAAGCCATTCACATAATACATTACAGCTTTAAGACCCAGCCATTCACATAATACACTACAGCCTTAAGGTACAGCCATCCACATACTACACTACAGCTTTAAGATACAGCCATTCACATAATACACTACAGCTTTAAGGTACAGCCATTCACATAATACACTACAGCTTTAAGATACAGCCATTCACATAATACACTACAGCTTTAAGATACAGCCATCCACATAATTCACTACAGCTGTAAAACACACTACAGCTTTAAGACACAGCCATTCACATACTACACTACAGCTTTAAAACACAGCCATTCACATAATACACTACAGCTTTAAGATACAGCCATTCACATAATACACTACAGCCTTAAGATACAGCCATTCACATAATACACTACAGCCTTAAGGTACAGCCATCCACATACTACACTACAGCTTTAAGATACAGCCATTCACATAATACACTACAGCGTTAAGACACAGCCATTCACATAATACACTACAGCCTTAAGACAGCCATTCACATAATACACTACAGCTTTAAGACAGCCATTCACATAATACACTACAGCGTTAAGACACAGCCATTCATATAATACACTACAGCGTTAAGACACAGCCATTCATATAATACACTACAGCTTTAAGACACAGCCATTCAGATACTACACTACAGCTTTAAGATACAGCCATTCACATAATACACTACAGCCTTAAGACAGCCATTCACATAATACACTACAGCGTTAAGACACAGCCATTCACATAATTCTTAAAGCTGTAGTGTTACCTCAATAACATGTAGTTAGTGTTTATATGAGCATGATATTCATACCAGATACCTACCTCAATAGCATGTAGTTAGTGTTTATATGAGCATGATATTCACACCAGATCCAGTGTATTATGTGAATGGCTGTCTTAAAGCTGTAGTGTAGTATGTGGATGGCTGTACCTTAAAGCTGTAGTGTATTATGTGAATGGCTGTACCTTAAAGCTGTAGTGTATTATGTGAATGGCTGTACCTTAAAGCTGTAGTGTATTATGTGAATGGCTGTGGATCCCCACCTCAATAACATGTAGTTAGTGTTTATATGAGCATGATATTCAAACCAGATCCCCACCTCAATAACATGTAGTTAGTGTTTATACGAGCATGATATTCACATCAGATCCCTACCTCAATAACATGTAGTTAGTGTTTATATGAGCATGATATTCACACCAGATCCCCACCTCAATAACATGTAGTTAGTGTTTATACGAGCATGATATTCATACCAGATCCCTACCTCAGTAGCATGTAGTTAGTGTTTATATGAGCATGATATTCACACCAGATCCCTACCTCAATAACATGTAGTTAGTGTTTATATGAGCATGATATTCATACCAGATACCTTGGTTTGAATATCATGCTCATATAAACACTAACTACATGTTATTGAGGTAGGGATCTGATGTGAATATCATGCTCGTATAAACACTAACTACATGTTATTGAGGTGGGGATCTGGTGTGAATATCAACGAATATCATGCATTGTATGATAGTTGGTAATCTGTATAATAGTAATAGAACTTCCGATGGAAAATCTTAATATAACTTTTTTTATACTTTGAAATAGTTTTTTCTGTTAGGATAATCGTTTTCTCAATAAATATTCACATTGAATCTTTCACAATTTATGAGAATGCCTTTTTTCAGAAAAAAATCTGTAAAAATGTGATTATTTCATGATATAACTATTCAGATTAAATTATTTGTGTCAGTAAATACACTTATGTGTTTGCATGTGCAAAGCATCACTTGATA